TGCCACAGTGCTTGTCAAAGCCAGTTCTGATTAATCTCCTTTGTCAGTGTGTCCTTTGCTATTCCCTATCACTCCTCCCTGAGAGAGACTGCACCCTGATTCATAAGGAAAAGGGGATGGTGTATTCTCTTAGCTACTTCCTGCTGAAAAGGGCCTCCCTGTAATTGTAATTTCCATTTATCCTTCTATATTACCCCTTCCTTCGGCAAATGAGTCAGCTCTCTCTCTCGCTCTCTCTCTCTCTCTCACCATTTTATTTAGAAGTTTCAGGGGAAATGAGGTCCCAGGATCACCTGCACTTCAGAAAAGAAAATGAGGTTCTTTTGACTAACTATAACTCACCCTCTAGTGGGTTTTCAGAGGTTGTGAATTGCACGAGAGGAGAGTGCCCATCTTTCTTCCACAGAGGAGCTAGTGGATTCAAACTGCCTGCTTTTGGCTTGGTAGTGCAACTTCTTACCCCTGAGACACCACAACTCTCTGCTGAGCCATGGAGATGGACTTTGTTTCAGGCTCGAAGAGTAACTAAAGTTCGTGGTCTCAGGACTTCCATTGGTCTCTATCACACTAATATTTGTTATGCTTTGAAATTTCTTTTCACATTTTCTCCAAGACTGTCCAGGGTCTTCTACTTTGGTCCCTTTTAGGGAGGTTAGCAGTAGTACCTGGGGTCACCATCACCCACTTCTTTTACCATCCAGTGATAAGCCTTACCTCCATTAATTTTTCAAGTGATGGCTGCAAAATCTTTTCCTCTCAACTCATCACCTTCTCTGTTCTTGGCTTTCTGCTGCAAGAACAAACCCTCTCCAGCACTGCAGTTTTAAAGAGCTTTCTTTGAGGGTACAGTGTGCCTTTGAATTGAAACTCACTGATCTTTTCTATGTTGTAGATTGCTTTTCTTATAATTTTGGCTATCTTTCTGGATTATCCTCATTCTCTGAAAAAACTCTGAGAACATAGTGCACTATATATTGTTCAGTTAACCACAAGCTCATTTGTTCAAATGTAGCAGTTGCTTTAAGGGAGGAAGACGGGCAATCTCCTCCTATGTGATTCTTAGCTTCAGAAACATGATGGAAGCCAAGAGCTGGACTAGAATTTACAGCCATGGGTGAGCTGCTTCTTTGTGATGGCTGTAATTTTTCATTCTCTTTAAGGGGAATAATTTTAAATCCCTTTTAAGGGGATCTCTAGTGGCCTAGTGGGAAAGGAATTGCACTGTCAAACCAAAAGCAGCTGGTTCAAATCCATCAGCTGTTCTGAGGGAGGAAGGTGAACAGTTTCCCCTCATGCAATTTACAGCCTCGGAAAATCCCCTGGAGGGTCAGCTGTGAGTTGGTTCCACAGCTGCACAGAGCAATATGCCTTTGAGAGGCTTTCACTGATGGCACTAAGACGGTTTCCAGATAAAAACTTTGACAGAAAATGTGGCAGTGAACTGTCCTGGGCAGCTGTGTGCATTTCTTTAGAAGCAGAAACTTGGGGCAGGGCAAGTCTGGCTGAATCAAAATGCTTGATTGTCAGCATTATTGAGGTCAAGTCTTAGCTAACTTTGGCTTCCTTGTGGGAGTCAGGCACTGGCCTGCAGATCTTTCCTGCCCCTCCACATGCCCCTGCCCCTGGTCTGACAGATTCTTTCTGGCAGGGCTGTGAGGAGCGGCTGACTTCCTTTTCCCTCTTCCCTCGACCCTGGAGCGCTGTGCGCGTGAAGGAATATGGATACACACGACTCCACATCCTCAACGGGACCCACGTCCACATCCAGCAGGTTTCCGATGACCAGGTCGGTGAGAGGCTGGCCCTGTTTCCCGGCCTGAACAACCAGCCTTTGTGTGTTAAGTCTGAGTGTTTCCAAGTGTGAATTTTACATCTAGAAAATCTGGGTTCAAATCCTGCTGCAGGTGCTTAGCAGCCTGGATAACCTTGAACAACTTGATTCATCCATTTGAGCTTCAGTTTTTCCATTGGCAAAATAAGCATGATAGTTTTTTCTACCTCATAGAATCATGTGGGACTGTTTAATGCTTAGGATAGCATCCAGAACAAGAGAACTGCTTTAAGTATTTATTATTATGAGGTGGGGGAAGAAAAAGCAGACAGAAAATCAGTATGCTAGTGTGTGATAAAGGTGATTGAGGGCTACGTGGATTCAAGTAGCAATGGCTAACTTATTTTTGGTGTCTATGAATTTTTGAGCATCAGATCTATCTTTGAAGACGTGCAGCCAGAATGGTCCTTAGAACTGAGAATGGGGAGGCATCATCTCAGATAGTTTAGGCATGTTATTAGAAGGGGCTAGTCCTTGGAAAAAGAGATCATGCTCGGTACAGCAGAGAATCATAGAAAAAGAAGACCCTGAATGAGATGGATTGGCCCAGTGACTGCAACAATGGGCTTAAGTACAGAAGAGATTGTGAGGGGGGCAAGATGTGAGGGTGTTTTGTTATGAGGGTCACTGTAAGTCAGAACCAACTCTGCACACTCAGTAGCAACAACATTGTGCGAACAAACACTTTATCATTAGCTGGGTAGAGATACATTATTGTTGTTATGTGCTTTCCAGTCCAAACCAACTCATAGCTAACTCCCCAGCCAGTTCTCAGAAGATGAAAACCATGTGAGAGGAGGCTGTCCATCTTTCTCCCTCAGAGCAGCTGGTGGATTTGAAGTGCTTGCCTATGAGATGGCAGCACAACTCCTTACCCACTAGGCCACTGGAGGGCTCCATACATAGACACAGAGATATAGGAAGATACCACAGGGGAATCACTCATTTATAGATCTAGTTAGATAAATAGATAAGGATATGGGCTGTTGATGAGTATCGTCAAGTTGGAACCAATTAATAGCTGACCCACCTGCAGATTTTCAAAGGAAATTGAGAGGAGAGTGCCCATTCTTCTCCCGTGGAACAACTGGTGGATTCAAACAGTGTACCTTTGTGTTGGTAGCACAATTCTTTACAACTCAGTCACCAGAGCTTTCTAGATATAGATATAGATACATAGTTATAAAGAAATAAAAACACATAGGTATAGATAGCTATAGGGAGATATAGATACTCTGATGGCCAAAGTCAGTAAGAAACTGCTTTACAAAGTTGCACAGTTCAAATCCATCAGCTGCTCTGTGGGAGAAGGATGGACAATCTCTTTCTGATCAACTAACAGCCTTTGAAAACCCACAGGAGGGTCAGCTATGGGTCGGTTCGAACTCAGTGATACTCAACAACAACGCAATAACAGGTATACAGTAGATACATTGATTGATAAATACATATACATAGATGTAGGTAGATACCTAGATAGAATGATAGATAGAGTTAAATAGTTACAAACAGAACTATCCTCACGTCAACTCCAACTCATGATGACCTTAAGAAGGAATATCTCCAGGTCCGGCATTATCCTCCCAGTCATCCACTGCTGCAGCCATTGTGCCAGTCCGTCTCACAGTGTCTTCTGGGACCTTGCTAGCCTCTTAACTACAGATTTGCCAGCATTTTAATCATCCCAGCAGTCCCATAGGGATCACATTCTCTCCATTGTCCAGATGCAAGAACTGAGGCCAGTGGAAGAGAAGTAACTTACCTAGGCTCACCCAGCCGGAATGTGGTCAAGCTGGGATCTGACCCCACACAGCACACTCTTTTGCTTTTTCCATTACAAGTAATAATTTTGTTTGCAGTGCATGCACTGTGTGCTTCCTTCCACCCCGGTCTCTCAGTGACCTCTAGGGAGCACTCCATGGTTTTCTGTATTTTCTTAAAGACAGACATTAAGATCACTTGGAGAATGGCTGTGCTGGAGATGTAAGCCGAGGTTTGTGTGACTCCAGGGTTTATGCTCTCTTAATAGTAACCGACTCTTCTTGTATTCATCTCATGCACTTTGGGTGTATTATCAGGAAGGGCCAATCCCTGGAGAAAGACATCATGCCTGGTAAAGTGATGAGTGAGGGAAAGATAGGCAGAGTCTCAGGATCACTATGAGTTAAGTCAACTTGATGACACCTAGCAATAACAACATATAGTGTTGCCATGTATAGGACTTCCTTTTACACCCTTTAGCAATACGCTATCTAATCCCTACAATATCTGTGAGGTAGGTACCATTATTATTATCTCCATTGTTCAGATAAGAAAACTGAGACTCAGAGAGGTTTAGCAACTTGCCTGAGGTCACACAGCCCATCAGAGGCAGAGCTGGGATTTAAACCCAGCCTACTTGGCCCCAGAGTACAGGGCTTTAGTCCTCATTGCCTTCCTTGCTTTTGTCCCTGGCAGGATGGCAAGATCGTGGATGACTTCTGGATGGTGAGACCCCTGCACAACCGGATGATGTACCTCTCGGGATGAGAGGGCAATTCTTACCAGGAACCCAAGGTGCTGCTGACTTGGCCAGTGGGACCAGACACTGCTCAGGCCTGGGCAGGGAGTCAGGGCAGGTCCCGACTTCTTTGCCCTCCTGAGGCCCCTCAGAAGGTGGACACAACCCTGAGGGAGCTGGGGTGACTCCTGGAGAGAAGGAGTCCTGGCCAGCTGTGGAGGGTGGGCAGGTAGGTGGGCACAGAATGAAGCAGGGAGGGTGTCAAGCGGCCACACCTTCTGCATGACCGACTGGGCTGGGCACCCGTAGAGCCTTGTGAATAAAGAGGTTTGTGCCTGCAGCTTTGTGGATTTTGCATTTCTGCCGGAGATGCACTCTGGGCCTCTCCTGCCCATTCCAGCCACTTGGATACAGCTTTCAGGACACCACTCACCAGCAGGTGGCGATAGTGGCATTCTTTTTCCAGCCTGGTCCTCAAAGCCAGCTCCAGCTTTACAGTTCAAAGACTACTAACCTACGTCTCTTGGTACCTCCATTCCCCTACTACTGTTTAGTCTGGAAAGTGGAGGAGTATTTGCACTGAGCACTTGGAACAACTGATGAACCTCACCATGTCATAGACCCACCCTTCTCCTTCCTCCTTTCCTTGCCTCCTCTTTTTGTAGCCCTCCATTCCTTCAGCAGTTACTCACTGAGCATCAACCAAGGTGCAGCTGATATTCTTATTAGTTGGGTGGACAATAAACAAAATAAATAAGCAAAATAGATAGCAAAAGAGCTCCTGTTATGGGCTAAGTGGAAGCAGAGAAGGGACTGAGTGTTGTGTTGTCATGCGGGTGGGAGGGTAGCATGGCATTTGTCCAAGGAAACTTTACTTGATCTGAAGGAGAGACAGAAATAGATGTGTGGACAGACAGCTTGAGGAAGAGTGTTCTAGGAAGAGAGAACAGCCAATACGAAGGCCATGGGGCAGGAATGGAGCAAGATGAGGGAAGGGAGAGTGGACAGGAGGTGAAAGAGGTGACAAGGTCAGATTATTTGGGGTCTCAGAGAAAGACAGGAAGACCTTTAATGAGATGGATTGACACAGTGACTGCAAAAATGGGCTTGAGCATGGCGGTGGTCATAAGGATAGCACAAAGAAGCCATGTGGTTATACCAAAGGCACGCAGTTCTAATCTACCAGTTGCTCCATGGGAGAAAGGATAGCACAGATAAGGTAAGATTTCCATCTGTTGTTCCTGAGGTCACTATGAGTTGGAAGTGACACGAAGGCCACAGTCAGGACTTCATCCTTTACACTGAGAGAGAGGGAGCTTTGGCCAGGCCCTAACAGGATGGGCTCTCACTCCAAGGGTCCTGGAACTGAGATTCTGCCCCAGGGGGAGACCATGGGCTCTTTCAGCCTTCTCAGATCTCATGTCCGTACCAGCCCCAACCTGTCCCAGCTACAGAGACCTCCTTCACATGCCAAGCTCTTTCTCACCTTGTTTTTGTTTTTGTGTGCCATGGAATCAGAACCAACTCATAGCTTCATGCAGTGGGTTTTCAGAGGCAGGAAATCACATGGGACGAGATTATGCTTCTCCCTTGGAGGAACTGGTGGATTCACACTGTATGTCTTTGGGATTACACTGCAGTTTCTTACCACTGGGACACCAGAGCTCCCTATGCAATGGTCTTTGTTGAGGCAACAAATATTTATGAAGCATTTGGTTTGTCCTGGGCAATGCTGGGCCCCCTTCTGGACTTCACCCTTCTGGAGACCCTTTCTCGCCTTAGAACCTGGATGCTGGCCATTTGCCTTGCCTCATCTGAGGCCTGGTACCTTCACAACCCAAGCCTCAGCCCCAGTGTCCTCTCCCTGTTTGTAGCTCTTCTTGTAGCCAAAGGCCCTTGACTCCCTACTGTTTTCAGCTCATACCATTGTGATTCGTATGATGTTCAGAACAGATCTCCAGGCCCTTCCTACTCTGAACAGAAAGTTCCTCTGACATTAGTTCAGCGTCACAGCAACATGCTTCCAATTCTACACTTCTCTTGTGGATTGATGAACTTGTTCCTTGTCTGTCTCCTTTCACCCCAACCCCTCCCCCAATGGGAGGATCTGTAAGATTGGTTCATAAGTCCCTCACTTCCTCCGTGAAGCTCTCCCAGACTCCTTTCTCAAGCTGAGTTTAGGCCTCTGTTCACATATGGGCTATAACTGTCTAGGGGTGTGTCCCTACTGGGCTTACCACCCAGGAGAGTAGAGCCCAGAACTGGCCCCAGCATTGCCCAGGACAAGGTAGATGCTTCATAAATATTTGTTCCCTTAACAAAGGCCGTCACATGCCACTTCCAGCCAGACAACATGAAGGTTAGTAACGAATCAGCCCTTGTCAGGTCACAGGCTGGCAGGAAGAGTTACCCAACCCTGGTGAGGAGCTTTGAAGGAATGTCACCAGGGGATGGACCAAGGCCACAAACTCACACAGAGAGTCCCCGTGGGCTGTGCCAAGGCCCTGAGCTGGGTTCTCCATGTGGATATGCTCTGCCCTAGCAGGTGGGTGGTGCTGTGGACATTTCCAGGGAATGTGGTCCACAGATGACAAAGGCCTGACACTAAAACCAGGGCGGGTGGGGAAACCCAGTTGCTGTCTTGTTGACTCCAATGGTGGAATAGAACTTTGTTCCACAAGGTTTTCAGGAGCTAGTTTTTTTCAAGCGTACATTAACAGCCCTTTCTTACAAGGTGTCTCTGGGTGGACTTGAACTTCCAATCTTTTGATTAGTAGAGAGCATATTAACCTTAGCACCATTCAGGGACTCAGGAGCTGAGCAGAAGCTGTATAAAGCCCCACTCTGCTGCTGCCTGGTGACTGTTGCCCACCCACTCTGACTTTCTGTTTCTTTTATCTGAAACTTAGAAAGACAGTGCTCTGTCTTGGGGATTAAATGGGGTTGGAAGCCTTGGTGTCATCCTTGACTTGGCTTTTTCTCATGAACCACATCCAGTTAGCTTGTCAGTTCTGTTGGCTATGCTTTTAAAATCTATTAAGGCCCTCTCCATCCCTCCTGCCTCTGAGGCCTCCACCTAGTTCCTGCCCGCTGTCATCTCATGCCTGGAGCATCCCAGCAGCTACTCTTCTGGTCTCGGGGCTCACTGCCCACTATGTCCCCTACCGTAACTGGGCTTACAGCCCTCCTACGATCCTACATTGCAGAGAAAAAGATAAGGTTCCCCTGCCCACCCCCACATAGTCTGCGCATGTCATCTCCCTCCACCCAGCCCTCACCCACTCTGCTCCAGTCAGGTGGACCTCTGAGAATGCATAAACCTACCCTTTGTCTCATTCACTTTGGGTATGTTGTCAGTTCCAGTCCTTGTAAAAGACCTCATGCTGGGAAAGGTGGAGGGTCAGCAAAGGAGAGGAAGACCTTCAAGGATCTGGAATGATCCAGCAATTGTAACAATTGGCTCGAGCATGGCAAAGATTGTGGAGGTTAGGATCTGTTGTTCACCAGGTCACTGTGGGTCAGGGTTGACTCAATGGCCCCTCAGCCTTGGGAGTCTGTCCTTCAGGTGTCCACCTGGTCCCCATTGCAGGTTCCTTGATGTCACTTCCTCAGTGAATCTTCCTCTTATCACCTTACTTCACATAGCTCCCCCCTCTTCCCTCCCTTCCCCTCTCTCCTCCTTTCCTGCTTTATTTTTCTTCAAAGCATCATGGGATCTGTGGTAATAGTGACATTCTTAATTACTTACCTTTCATCTCCTTTAGAATATGAGATCCCAAGGGCCAGGGATTTCTGCAGATTCTGTTCACCCCTGGAACCCCCAAACCCGCTGCTGTCCAGTCAGTTCTGATTCATAGCTGAGCCCTCACTGGAGCTCCAAGGCTGTGAATCAACTGTCCATCTTTCTCTCTCTCAGAGCCTATGGTGGATTTGAACCAATGACCCTTCAGTTAGCAGTGCAGCACCCACACAGCACCACCAGAGCTCCTCTCTGGAATTCAGCAAGCACTCCGTAAACATTGCTGAGAGAAGGAAGGAGTGATGAATATGAGTGAGGTGCTTAGCACAGCATCTGCCACAAGAGTGTAATGGAGCCTAGGGATGATGGATGGTGATGTGGGTGAATCAGGTAGAAGCTGGCCCCTTGGGGTGGTCCTCTGCAGGCTGCAAGGGAGAAAGTCATGCACAGAGGATTTTTACACCTGTGGTGAGTGACATGGGCACGAGCAGTTACAGGCTGAAGAGCTGGAGCCCCAGAGGCTTCTGGGAGACCAGGCTGAACACGGTCTTTGAAGGTGATGTAGATGACCCCCAGCAGGTCGGAACCTGTGCCCCCACAGAGGATAGCAAGGTCTGGGAGCAGGAGATCACCTGTCTGATCTACTTAACTCCAGACAGACTGGCAGGGAGGAAGCTTCTGGATCTCTGAGTGCATTCACTGAACAAACATCTGCTCACTAACATGCTTTATTGCTTAAGTGGGCAGTGGTGCTTCAGAGATTGAATTTTCATCTTTCATGACAGAGTCCTGGTTTGGCCCCAGTCAATGCACCTCTCTGGGAGTCACTGTCCATCCATGAGTAGAGGTGTAGAGGCCGCTGTGATGCTTTAGAGGAGCTTTCAGATGAAAAGAGACTACAAAAAAAGACCTGGCAATAATCTTCTGAAGAGCACACAAATCACAATGGGCTTTTTGGACAGTTTTCCCCCTCATCTGTTCTAGTGCAGTATTCATTATTTATCCACTTTTCCCCCATTCTCTCCCTACTCCCACCTCCATTTCTGTCCTATTTTATAACAGTGGTGTTAAGCAGTATTTGTCTTTTTGTAACAGATATTTCACTCAGCATAATGTTCTCCAGTCTCTCCCATGTTGTGTAATGTTTTATGTGTCCATTGTTTTTCAATGCTGTGTAATATTCCATTGTATGAACTGTAGTTTTTCTATCCATTTATTTGTTGATGGGCACTTAGGTTGCTTCCATCTCTTTGTAATTATGAATAACATAGCCATAAACATGGTTGTGCA